AAGAATGTTTGACAAGCCGCTTGTGTGGTGTATTTCGCTCTTTACCCAATTAGAATTTGAGTGCCCGCTCGTTTTAGTACTTCCTGTTTCAGTTTGCCCTCGAAAGGCTTCAAGAAGGCGCTAACAGAGCTTTTCTTTTCACAGGGAAAAAATGTATGTATGTATGTATTTTTTTGGTCTAGCTTGCTGGGGAAAGAATATTACATTAACCGTACCTTCTTATAATCGAATATCGATGGCTGAGTGGAAGATCGACCTATCTCGGCAGCCAGTTCGAAAACGCTCTATCTCAAAAAACTTTTCAAGAACGCCCTATTTCAGAATTCGTTTCAAAAATGCCTTATCTCAGCTGCCGATTCAAAAACGCCCTATATCAGCATATTTTCAATACATTTTGAAGTGAGATAGGCCGAATTTTGACATAGGGTATTTTTCAATTAAATTCTGAAATAGGACGTTCTTGAAAAGTTTTTGAGATAGGGCGTTTTCGAACTGGCCGCCGAGATAGGTCGATCTTCCACTCAGCAGTCGATATACGAATATCGTACCCAAAAAGTAAAGTTTTGTTAAAAAAAAAAATCTGCCTGATGGCGTCAATGTAGAAGCATTTTTCGTAATGTCGCCATTAAATGGAGAATTCGATTCACAAAATGTAAAGTTCCCGCTCCTTTCATAAATAATGGGCCTCTTGCATAAAAAGAGAGCTTAAGCTCTGACTCAATTTTCGGACTGAACAAATGAGCTCAAGCTCAAGAATTTGTACTGAAAATCGAGTCGGAGCTTAAGCTCACTTTTTCTGCATGAGGTCCAATAAGTTTCCTTAGAACGTAAATTCAAAATTCTGGCGACGATATAACTACTTTGGAACATATGTATGTGCCCCGTTTGAGGAGACTCGACCTCGATTGGTAAGTGTGCACCACAATTAAGGACAGTTGACTTCAATAGTTGCGAACTACTTCTTTTTACTGCTGGGCTTTAAATCAGTTGGGAATTTGATGGCTATAACATAACTTTTGAATGAAAAAGTAAAAACTTGTATGTTGTATGTAGATCAAATATTGGACAAATCGATCATGAATTATCCCAAGGCTCAATAAGGTATCATTTAGAGTTAGGAAACGCTTTTGCTGAACGTTAGGAACCATCTACAAAATTTTATGGATGGCTCAAAAATGGATTGTGCGCAGAAGAATTTTGTTCGTCAGTTTCGGCGAGTGTAACATATTAGTGGCGAAAATATAAAAAGGGACGCGACATTTTAACTTTTTTATTTATTTATTTTTTAATGTTTATTACTTCTTTTATGAACTTATACGTTATTTAACAAAAACCATATAAGTCCGTATTTCAAATTTTGTACAAAATTTAGGAAGATTCGACCAAGTTTCATCAAAATTTCGAGCTTTTCAAGCAGACTTCTTAGAAACCTTTTGCGTATGTAGTTTTTTGGCTCATTTAATTTTTACACATAGAGTGTGTTTCGGGTAAAGCCAATAAAAAGCACTTGACGTGTGAATTTTATGTATTCTTTATTTCATTTCCTTGGGTGAACTAAACTATGTAATTACATAGTTACATTAAAATTGAAGTGCTAAGTATATAGAGCTTAACAGTGAGAAAGCACACAAAGGAGCTTCAATGCTCTTAAAGCTAGAATTTGAGTGTAAAACAACTAAATGGGTGATATGAAGCGTGTAGAACTATTGTACTAAATGAAATAAATAATGCATGAGTAATTCCACGGACTAAATGTTGTTGGTAATAGCCCTCTCACCCAACAGAGTGCAAGTTTGAAGAGCTAGAACTTACCGTGGCTGTGTGAATTTTTTGTGTTGAAGTTGTTGCTAATTTTTCCCGTATAGAAAAATTCTTGAGCATACCTTGTATGGTAAAAATGACGTAACCCCGTCAACGAAATTAAGAGGAATTTTGTAGCCACTCAAAACTTGCACTTAATGGGCTATAAAACACTTCCGCCAGCTAGCTAGACGATTTTAAAATACCTCCAAAAATCTTATTATTTCGATTACGATGCTGCAATTTTTAAAAATTTTTATACAGACCTTTTAAGCTTAAACTCTTCTATCAAGTTAGGTGATTTTTTTAGAAAAACTATGATGTGCCCTAATGTACATATACATAAGTATACATCTAATATATAAAAATCTCGTGTCTCATTGTTAGTGGCCGAACTCCTCCTAAACGGCTTGACCGTTCTCTATGAAATTTTTTGTGCATATATGGTAGGTATGAGAATCGGATGTAAAGTATATTTCATACTGCTAGGTGCAGGGGGCGTGGCATCTCCCATACGAACCGAATTTTTCACACTG